TTAACAGTGCACCCTTTCATATCTTTCTAATTGGACTTTCCCCCTTTTTTTTCTTTCATGATCAAGTGCGAGACTCATTATTTAAACACAAAACCGAAATGGCCATAATAGCACCGTCCATATCATAAGCTTGAGGTGAGATACGCGCGCGTGAAAAAGTGAAATGAAGTGCGAAGTGTGAAATGTGGAGTTTGAAGCGCGAGTGTGAATTGTGAAGATTAAAAGCCTCATTTGCACAGATAAAACTACATTGTAGGAAGAATTTCAAATGGCTAACAACTGTATAAGTTTAAAATTTTGATAAAACTAAAACTGGTATCTAAGAATAATTTTCAAAGTTACTTCTATAACTGATGTAGATGTAACAGCAGCTTTGGCTTACCATGCATTTCTTTGAAAGTACGTACAAAGTAAAATCGGTCTATTAACTCTAACTCTTGTTAGGAAAAACCTACATTATTTAAAGATAAACTTTTCTTTAGAAATAAGCAGTTTTGTTCTTTCTATAAAAGTTAGAAATTTAAACAGTTTTTAAAAAGCGGCAATTTCCTTGGCCTATTAAAGAAGAGTACATTTTGTCAACTATTAAGAGTCAAGCAGCTGGTTATGTCAGAAAATAATTTACCTATAAAATTTTCACCATGTGATTTATTTAAAAAATTATTTTGAGTAGCAACAAATGATAGAAAAGTAAACATTTATAGACAATTGCCTCTGAAGCCGCAATAAAAAAAAGGTATCTTGTGTGCCATGGCTACTGAGTAAAACATGTTGTAAATTCTAAAGACAATGAAGGATCTGAATGTCCACGATAAAACATTGCCATGGCAACAAATCTACCACTAATCAACCACTAATTTCTGAAACACTCGAGAATTCGCTTTCGCAAAATTTGTAAATTTACACCCAATTCTAGTTAACATGTACTTCATGATACAACTGTGTTCAGTCACTTTGTTGGATTGTTTATGTATACTGAGCTCGTACATGACCACTAGCGTTGAACCTTCAAAACACATCGCTCTGACAATGAGCACGTAGATTGAATGCCAATAGGGTTAGGGACTACTTCGTATCGTATCAGTAAATGTTTGCACTCGTTGGGTGATGACCTTGACATGTTATACTGCATTCGGCTTCAAGGTTTTGAGCACCTTTTAAATTTTCAGTGTCAAGATGTGTAAGTCCTAAGTTTTTGATTTTATCAGGAACAAACTTGGACGAAATATGAAAAACATTCCATTTACTACAACATTTCTTAAGCTAATTCAGTTAAGCGTTGCCGTTCTCGCTGTCAACTCAGCATTGGAAGCCAAAAATCTTTCTAATAATAACCTTGTACTCTCGCCTGAACCTCTTATCTGTGGCACAATAGATAAAGGGGTTTATGGTGCTACTCAGATAAACTAAGAAGCTGTAAGTTAAGTACACTTGTCGTGGTAGTTTGGGTTCTTCACGTACCATGTCGATGTTATCGACGACGAAGACAGGAAGCCAACAATATGCAAAGCCGACCACAACTGCCACCAAACGTTTCGTCACTTTGGCTTCTTCCACAGTCACCCGAAGGAATTGCAGTTATTTTCCAACGAGAAAACACGATTTGATCTTGACACGGTGCGAAACACTAGCAGATCTTGATGATGATCAAGGGAGTTGTGATGAAACAGCAAAGGATTGAGACAGAGTAAGCAATGTTACTTTCAAATTTGTTCAGACACATTGCTTTTCCAGGCTGTAATTCAATGCTGCCGTTTTTGAAGAGTAACATGGGCACAGATGCAGCCAGAGCCAAGCACCAAACCATGAAAATGTATATCAAGCTTCTTGTACATCGCTTCTTAAACAGCGAGGGATACTTTTCCTGATTGACAACACGGAAATACCGGCTGACTGCAATTGCTGCCATAGTTCCAAGACTGCTCATCCCAAATGCAAATGTATCAAATGCTTGAAAGCGACAGACCGTTTCACCAAAGATCCAGCTGCCGTGGAAAAGACTTGCCACTGTAAAAGGCATACACCAGGTACACATCAGAATATCGCTGACAGCCAGTGCTATTACGAACATGTTGGGAATTGTTCGCAGCCCACGCTTTCGGTAAACGGCGTAAAAAGTGAGAAGATTTCCAAGGACAGCTACAACGTTGGTAACAGCAAACAAAACTGTTTCAGTCCTAACTAAGACTTCAGATCTAATGGTAAGCTCATGGGAAAGTGTGTTGGACACCATCATTCTTGACCAATGAGTGAAGAAACCTGTGACTGTAACCCGGGTGAACGCTTCACATTTCACACGTTTTTAGCACTTCACACTCGTACGCCACTTAATTTGTGCCTCAAAATTTATGCTCGTGTTTCACTTATCGTGCTCGATCTTAACAATTCAGCCTCGCGCTTTAAACTCCACACTTCACACTTCCTTTCACTTTTCATGCGCGCATATCTCACCTCTTGTGTTTGGATAATGAGTCTCATACTTGATCATGAAAGAAAAATAAAAGGGGAAAGACCAATTAGAAAGATCTAAAAGGGCACACTGTTAATGCTATTGCTGGGCGGATTTTAGCTTTCAACTTTTTGTTATCTTGCGCACACTTATCACAATAAATTATTTTGGGGGCTTCCTATAGTTTTACTGTGTATGGACTTTTTCCAATTTACTAAGTCACCCCGAAAAGGATAAGCATCGACTAAAAATTAAGAGCAATGTTAAATTTGTACTTCCGCCTTTTTTTCACCATTTAGTGGTCTTGATTTTTTGCAGATGTTTTCCATGTTATCACATCAGTCTATTTTTGAAAAAATGAAGAGCTTTGGTCAACAAACAGACATTTCTCGCGGTAAGATTAATTTTCGATCGTCATTTTTGGAGCCAGAAAAGAAAAAATTCATTTCCGATTAGGTTCGATTATGGCACAAAGAGACAAGTAATATCTTCCTTATTTGAAAGCCAAAAAAAGGACCTGAAAGCAGCTTGACAGCTTTCTGTTACCGACTTTTAGCTGAGCCGATGCTATGATGCAATTTATCCTGGTAGGGAAACTCCACCCGCCTGCTATTGTACTCCGGAATGACGGAGTTTCTTTCACTCAAGCTTGCCGAGAGAACTGATTCTCTAATTTTGATAGAAACATTTTTGTTCGCAGTTATCAATGTTACAGCCCTTTCTGGAAATCTTCTAACTCTATACGTCGTGTATAAAAACCAAAGGCTTCGCATTCTTCCCAACATCTTCGTCATAGCACTGGCTGTAAGCGATATTCTGATGTCGACCTGCTGTATGCCTTTCACAGTTTTAACCCTTTTCCACAGCCATTGGATGTTTGGTGAAAGGTTTTGTCAATTTCAAGGCTTTGAGGCATTGACAATTGGAACGAACAGCCTGGGAACTATGGCAGTCATCGCAGTCAGCCGATATATCTGTGTTGTTAGGCCGGAAAAATATCCTTTGTTCTTTAAGAAGGAGAGATCCTTGGGGTACATTGTCACAGTTTGGTTCCTGGCTCTCACTGGATCTGTTCCACCTTTTTTCTTCGGAGGAGGTACATTTGATTTCCAACCTGGAAAAGCAATGTGTTTGTACACATTTGAAAGTAACATTGCTTACACTGTCTTTACTGAGTGTATTTTTATCGCAACGCTCTTGGTGATCGTCACAGTTTGCTATGTCAAAGTTTTCCGAACAGTTTCGCGATCAAATCGCGATTTCTCCCGAGAAAATAACCTCAGTCAACTCCGTGCGAACGTGGAAGAGGCAAAAGTGACAAAGACATTGGTAGCAGTTCTGGTTGGGTTTGCGTCTTGTTGGCTCCCAATTTCTGTCCTGGATAACATTGACGCCGCCCGGGGTGAACACACTTTGCCAAGACAAGCATATCTGACATACACATGCTTGGCATATATCAGTAGCACCATAATCCTCTTCATATATGGTTGCATGAACAGGCAGTTTAGGCGGCAATACAAAGTGGCGTTTAAGAAGATTCTTTGTGTTCGTCGCCGGACCGCCGTCAACAGCTCTGAAAGTGGAGGAAGAAATTTTTTGACGCGAGTCTGGTCCATTTGAAAGCTTTCAGAGACTTTCAGAAGAAATACTTAGAAGGACGATCTGAAAATAAAATGACCACAATTCCATTTTTTCCATTTTAAAGGGATCAGAAATTTTTCTGTAATTCATTTCACTGTCTTTTATTGTGAGCTAGAAAATAAAGGAAATTTCTTCAGTAAACAACCCTTTTTTCCAATATAACAGTCAGTGTTAATTAAACAGCCCAAGTACAGATGACTACGGTAGAATTTTTCAAGTGATTAAAAAGTTATGAAATAAAAGATACAAATGTACGCTTAATTCTAACTGGAGTGAGAGCCGTAAGTAATTTGTTGCATTTTTTATCTCTAAGAACTGAAGTGTTACCAAATTTAAGCTCAATCAAGTTTACAAGGAATTTTACCACTGACTGAGAAATGAAACAGTTAAAAAAAAAACGATTAAAAAGAGTCTTTTTTCGGCGACAAAAACGGAAGGCCGTACAAATGAGAGAAAATTATTGTCATTTAGCCTAAACAATTATGACATCTTTCTATAGAATTCTGGACAGTTATGTGTTCTGCACAAGTTAGTCTGACAAGTTAGTCTGACCAATGGCCCATCATAGGTCGCCTACTATCTGAGAGAATTATTGAAAGTGAGTTTTAGGTTTGGCAGAGATATTTATGCAAGCGTTTGTTATGAGGAGAAAAAATGAAATAATTTGTTTTCTTTTTTCGAAAAAAAAGTCAAGATGACTGTCAAGTTTATTTCAGGAAGAAATGTCGGTAATCTTTAGTAGATTCCGAACTCTTGAAACTGTAGTCCTAACCTCATCAGAACGATTTTTTCCAAATGAAACTTTAATTTTTTTTCTAGAACTTCCCACCAGCAGATATGGGCACGTGAACAGCGCTACGTCAAACAGCTTTTTAATGAGTGTTCTCTAAAAGACGAGCTGCCGATTTTTCTAACTTCCTTCAATCTGGACACGTGGGCATGATATCGAAACGCTTCAACCAGTGGTTGATTTATTGTTTAAAATGACATATTTTTTTCGTTATTCAGCAACAAGCTGTTCGGACAACATCCTCTCGATATTTAAATTAAGATTTACAATTCAAGCAGAAATTTATGTTGCTTTTCTTAAAGATAAGTTGAGAAAACGGACACCACCCCTCCTCCCCCCATGTAGACGTATTTTTCACGAGTTGCCATGGCAAAAAGAATAAATAAACGCACGAGGTTCGTTTTGGTCTGCGATATTGCTTCTATGTTTGCTTCCAGAGTAAATGATTTCGACCTCTCCTTCCGCGGCCGGTAACATTTGGGGGCCTGTCCGGGAGTTAGTAAACGTAAAAGTCGAAGCAACATTTTTACGTAATGGTCGGCGGATTGGAGTGAAAGAAGTCTCAGGGCGAAAGTAAATCGATCGAAAGAAACAGGCCCCAGTAGGAACATAAAGAATGGAAATTGAGGATGTCCAGATGCAGATACAGAGTTATCTCTGCCAGTTAGGAGTTAAGGACCTGGAGGAGATCGCTAAAACTCTGGGATGCAGTGATGACGACACGAAGGAAAAGAACAGAAAGGGACTTGTAAGGTTGATCGAAGAACAGCTGGAGGGCACATTGAAAGGCACAAAGGCAGCTAAAATGAAACACCTGGAGGAATTTAAGTTACAAATAATGGAATATACGCCTGTTTGCCCTCCTTTGGAAGTAGTTGACGAGAAAGCGAAGCCTGGAATTTCTCAACCGCTCCTTGGAGAGGGTAAGCCTAAACTTGAAGATGTAAAACCATTGTATTTGCAACCGAATGATTTCAAGAAAGAGTTGAAAATTATCGGTCAGATTGGGGAGCCGGAGCAAAAGGACAAGCTGAGTTTTGTCAGCTTAGTGAGACAAATTGAGGGTGCTTTACAAAAGGGCTACAAGCCCTTAGAAGTAGTGGATGCTATAGTCAGGTCTATTAACCCTGGGATGAGATTAAGAAGTTATTTAGAAGGTCTGGAAAGTCTGACTCTTCCTCGTTTAAGACGTATACAAAGATCCCACTATCAGGAAAAGAGTGCTAGTGAACTTTATCGTCAGCTCTCTACATTAGTTCAAGAGCCCCAGGAGGGTTCTCAGAGTTTCCTCATCAGGGCCCTAGATACCAGGCAGAAGATCCTGTCTTTCCTTACACTTAGGTAACACGGAAAGCCGTAAAAATCTTGAACAAAAGCTCATCTTTCAAACCGACAGTCCAAATCCCACAGGGATCAACGAACGCTTTTCATTCCACTAATTTATTCTTGTTTTTCTCGTTGCCATGTTCCCACCAATAACGTAGCTCCATTTTCTGCCTTTAAAAGCACACACAACCCACAATTCCTCTATTCGCTCCGACGAAGGGCTAACGCTCGAAACGTCAGCTTTTGTAATCGTTACGGTGGCCAATTTACCATTTCAACTTCGTTGATATATCCAAATTATTTCGTTACCCCCACCGACGCAGCCCCAAACAGTTTCTTTCGAAACTATCAGCCTTTATTTAGTTCAACTAAAAGTTACAAACTTGACTTCAAAGTTTCTTTTGACAGTTGTAATTCTTTTTCTTTCAGTTATTCTTGATTGCGGAAGTTAAAGTTGTTGAGGTTCTTTAAGATATCTTATCTCTTTCGTGAACGGTGGGATTATCTAACATTTGTCTAAGTTTTTTAGCCGGGTGTCTGGAGATAAACAAGATATGGGAAAAAATAGAAGTAAGATATTTTCTCTCACTCAAAAGAGTTACACCAATCATTAATATAGCGACTCACTAACACATATTTGGAGTTAAACAACTGAGTTCAATAAAAACAAATCTTTTTCAACAACAACGACAAACCTCACGTGCTCTAGCACACCAAAAACTTAAAGGCGATCTGTTATTGCATTTGTAAATTTTGCCTTACAAAAATCAACGTGATGAGAATGAGAACAACGATAACTTAAAAATCTAATTTAATATTCATTGATTGCAATGTGTTTATATCTGTCATTCAGTTCAGAACTCACAATACTACGGCACCTTAGTGGGTTTCACCGATCAATGATTCCAAAAGGTGTCAAGGAAGACCTAGCTAAAGTCAGTATAGTTTTCGCACCTTTTCGCTGAGGTTATTGACCAAATGCAATGATGACAGACACACTTTCCCTTGAGCTTGCCAATAGGACAGAGACCTTTGTTTGGACTGAAACAGTTTTGTTTGCTGTAACCAATATTGTGGCTTTCCTCGGAAAGCTTCTCACTTTTAACGCTGTGTACAGAAAGCGCAGGTTGCGAACAATTCCCAACATGTTCGTGATAGCACTGGCTGTGACTGATTTTCTGATGTGTACCTGGTGTATGCCTTTTACAGTTGTCACTCTGTTCTACGGCCGGTGGATGTTTGGCGAAACATATTGTCTCTTCCAAGGTTTTGCAGCACTGACTTTTGGAATTATCGCCATGGTTACCATAAGTGTGATTGCGGTAAACCGATTCTTTTGCGTTGTGAAACCAGAAAAGTATTTCTTGTTGTTTAAGAAGCAAAGAGTGTTCATATACATGGTCATTGTTTGGAGCTTGGCTCTCGCTGGATCTCTGTCCCCGTTTTTCTTTGAGGGCAAAAACAGTTTCAAATTTCAGCCTGGAAAAGCAATGTGTTTGTATGCGTTTGAAAGTAACATGGCTTACACTGTAACAATCGAATGTCTTTACATCGCAGCATCCTTAACAACCATCACAATCTGCTATGTCAAAGTGTTCCGCGCGGTTTCAATATCAAATCAGGTTTTTTCTTCAGACGGTAACCCCTGTGAACTCCGTGCGAATGTGGAAGAAGCGAAAGTGACGAGAACTTTTCTAGCAGTTCTGTTTGGCTTCGCATGTTGTTGGCTTCCTATCTCTGTCATGGATAACGTGGACGCCTGGCGCAGAGAGCCCACGACACCACGAAAGGTTTACCTGACGTACGCGTTCTTAGCCTATCTGAGTAGCACCATCAACCCCTTCATTTATGGCATCATGAATAGACAGTTCAGGCGAGAGTACAAGGTCCTCTTAAGCAAGATTACTTGCTTTCGGCGCCAAAATGACAGCAACAACAACAGCAGCCACATTACTGAGTGTGGTGTATGAATTTTTTTCATCTTCATAAATAAATAATTTAGCAATGGACATTCCACTGGGTGGCTCTTCTTGTCCACTGTTTCCAGATCGAATTGGAATCTGGAATGTTGGTTTTTGCGGAGGGAGGAGAACCCGGAGAAAAATCCTCGGAGCAAGGACGAGAACCAACAACAAACTGAACCTACATGTGACGCTAGGTCCGGGAATCGAACCCGGGCCACAGTGGTAGGAGGCGAGTGCTCCATCCCTGCTCCTTCGTCAGTCTTTTAGAGTTTCACAGGCATCCCAACAAAATCAGACCGATAACTGACTAGCAAGTTCTGTGTTAGAGCCGAAGAATTTTCCTCTCTAAGGTCTAGCTCTCAAGGCAATTTTTTTATTTTACGTACTTATAAAAGTCGTAGTAGCAAAGGAAAGTCATAATTACATTTATCTTTTCTTCGCGACATTGTGTTTCCTCGTTGTAATTTCTTTTAGAAGCAAAGTCGATTCAGATCAAAAGAGACCGTCTTTAACGACAGAGTGTTATAAAAAATAAACAAACTCATTATACAACAGAGAAAGACAAGTAGAGGATTGATATTTTAGTAAGGGCGATTCTATCTTACATGTACATTAATTTCAACGTTAAAACTATATTTGAAGCTCAATTTCAAATTGCTTTTCTCTGTGATCTTTGCGTTTTTCTCTTTTATTTCCAATCATTCCCATTTTCAGTTACTCAAAAATTTATTTCGTTACAAGTAGTAGAAGTGAGTGGTTATAAAAATTGACCACAAAGATAAAAACAGCGGTGCCGCAGTGTGGTACAGGAGTTCACCAACTGAGCACAAACATATCAAATATTGTGCACACAGTGTGACTGAAAATATGAGTGGAAAGTTTCTATTGGTCAGCTTGCGTAGAATAGTATTAAATGTCGTATGCGATCAAGATTAAAAAAAGCTTAACCTAAATGTATTTTATTTTGATCGGCATATAAGACCGCGGAAGTCAAGTGTCAGTGCACCAACTCACGTTTCTGCTTGAAAACTGCTTAAAAAGTTAACTCAAAACTGTAGCGGATGTTGTTTAAACATCTTGTTTCTAAATATTGACGCGAAAAAGTCACCTCACATCGTAAATTTAGCATTAGTTTAGATTTTTCTATCATGTATTCACAAATAAGGTTTGTTAGGAGGAAGTAACCCTATGTTGAAATGTTGAACATTTGAATGAAAATTGAGCGGGTTTCGGTACGGTGATTTCTTACTTAAAACAACAATTGCTCCTAAAAGTGGATAATGATGATGGAGACCACATCGAAACTCAAACAGTCTTTCCCTGAGCCGTGATTGAACAAATTTACTCCATTTTAGTTGTATCTGTATTTAGTTGTTCATTTCGTTCATCTCTAGTTTGGCTCCGAGACTAGGGGAAGTCATTGAAGGGCACAGTAAGTCAAACTAAAAAAAAAATGTTTAAAAAAACAGAGAAATGCCAGCAACTGATATAGATATTCAAACGGAAGTCCTGTTACATAAATAATAATAATTGGAAACCGTTGCTGGGTCAGTAAAACCGGGCTATATTGGGTCAATAATGATAAAGATAAGTGATGAGGTAGTTAACTTTACCAAGAAAAATATCCCTAACACTCTTTCATCAACCATTACCTCAGAATCTCCACAGCCAGTTGAGACAGTTAGGTGCGAAGTTTGAAATTCGACTTTTGTACATGAAAGAAGAACATTTAGGAGGTGGCGGTTTTAATTTACGTTTAGTTTTTCCTGATGTTTGTACTCAACTATTTTTTTTAAGACCGCTTGAAAATTTACTGCTCAGCTTCACTCTAATTTGAGAATGCCATTAAAAAGAGATTCTGGTGCAAAACTGACGTTCCTATGACGTCATAGCTCATAACGTCACTTCTATCTGATCGGCGCGAATGATTTGTCTCTCAGAACAGTTGAGCGATCAAAGATGGCTTTTTTTTTCGATGTTCTAAAGTATAATCATGCAATTACCACAGAAAACAGGAAGAAATTCATCCACTAAGACTTTACTTCTCCACATGGAAAAATACATCGATCTACAAATACAGACAACGCTTCATGATTAAAAACCTCATTTGCACAGATAAAACTACATTGTAGGAACAATTTCAAATGGCTAACAACTGTATAAGTTTAAAATTTTGATAAAACTAAAACTGGTATCTAAGAATAATTTTCAAAGTTACTTCTATAACTGATGTAGATGTAACAGCAGCTTTTAAGAGCCACTTATAATTCTTAAGCTACATTACAAGGTAACTTGGCTTAACATGCATTTCTTTGAAAGTACGTACAAAGTAAATTTTAGATACATCCTATTTTTAGCTAAAATCGGTCCATTAACTGTAACTCTTGTTAGGAAAAACCTACATATTTAAAGATCAACTTTTCTTTAGAAATAACAAGTGTTGTTATTTCTATAAAAGTTAGAAATTTAAACAGTTTTTAAAAAGCGGCAATTTCCTTGGCCTATTAAAGAAGAGTACATTTTGTCAACTATTAAGAGTCAAGCGACTGGTTATGTCAGAAAAATACTTATTTACCTACAAAATTTTCACCATTTGATTTATTTAAACAAAACTTTTTGAGTAGCAACAAATGTTAGAAAAGTAAACATTTATAGACAATTGTCTCTGAAGCCGCGATAAAAATAAAGGTATCTTGTTGCCATGGCTAATGAGTAAAACTTTTGAAGACATTAAACCCAACATGTAGTAAATTCTAAAGACAATGAAGGATCTGAATGTCCACGATAAAACATTACCATGGAAACAAATCTACCACTAATTTCTGAAATATTCGCATTTTTTTTTTAAGACTATTGGTTTTGATTGGTAAAATCATGTTTGTCTTCGAGGATGACAAAAAGTATTTAAGAAGCTCTGGAATTCACAAGTAATACCTCACCATCTTCAGCGGCGGTCTATTGTAATTAAATAGCTGTGAATGAGTCTAAATATTTGAGCCATTTTTAAAAGTCTCTGAGAAAAAAACCCTGTTGGGCCGTGAAAATATTTATTTTTGAGCAAAAAACTAACTGAATTTGGCAAACTACAATAGTTGTAAAATCAGACAACCTAAATGTGTTCAGACTCTTATAAGAATATCTCAAATATCATTTGTTGGAGGAGTGCACTTTCTGTGTGTTGAAGTGAATTAAAGACCCTCGTGACATTTTGATAGTGTCACGCGAGATCACAAATTCAGGAGCGTTGTGTGAGAGCCGCGTGACATGACTTACGTCACGCTAAGGGACAGGTTCATTCGGGAAGGATGCGAACAAAGCTGACTGGGAAGACTCCACTAGTTCCGGGATGTCCTTCTATTTCACCCAACTACAGAGAAAGGAAAAAGAACAGTAAGGTATTATCAAGAGCAGAAATTTTCACATTAACCGCCTCCCGGTTAGCTCAATGGATAGAGCGCTGGACTGTTGTGCGGGAGGTCGAGGGTTCGAGCCCCGGCCGGACCAACACTCAGGGTCTTAAGATATATAATTGAGAAGAATTTGCTGCCTTTCTATAACATCAAGAAATGGTTAGATATTCTAGTCTTCTCGGATAGGGACGAATAAATGGAGGTCCCGTCTCCTGCAGGGTTGGGGTAGGAGACGTTAATTTCCCACACACGAGATTACTGTGTGATGGATGTCCTCCCCTGAGGTGGGATGGGTGGGAGGGTGGACTAGCACGAATGGTTCCTATGTTCCTTTCTAGTCCTTCCCCACTGCAAAACTTAATGCAGTGAAAATGGACTAAATTAAATTAAAATTAAATTAAATTAAATTACAGTTTTTCACCAAAGGAAACGCATTCTCAAACAAACAAACAAACAAACAAAAACAAAAACAACACCACCAGTTCGCCATTTCACCGCCTCCACACTACGTTTGCTACACCCCCTCCTACCCCTCCATGGTACCGAAGTCGTGGGAAACGCGGAGAAATATTTGGGGCAAAAAAAAGGGAAATGAGTAGGTGGTATAAAATAAAACGTTCAGTTTTATTTCATATTTTCCGTGCGGGATTCCATTTTCCGTCTTCCATTCATTGTGATATTTTTCCTGTCTGATAATTATTTGCCATTCACCTTTGGTCATCAAAATCAGAGGCTTCCATTTGGCGACAATCAAACGACCCTCCCACATCCCTAAAGACAGTCTTTCCAGCCCTTTCCCCCCTTTTCTTGCAGTCTCCTCGTTTTCCCCTCCTCTGATGAAAATTTTTCAGTAAGGTCCACCATCCAGTGTGTCCCCACCCCTCCCCCCACAATCAAATCACTAAACTGAATCAATACTTTACTCAACACTCGGTGCCTTTCCTTTCCCTCCCCCCCTCCCTTACAATCCTCCCAATACTCACCCACCATTCGGCGTCCTCCCCCTCCCCATTGACCAAAAGAATGTCGCCTTCTTTGAAAGTCAGCTCATCCTCATTATCCGCCTCACAGTCGTACAAAGCCTGTACCCGCCGGGGTAGAGTCGGGGCATTCTGAACACAAAGAAATCAAGAAGGTTAGTGGTCTAAAGATTTTTTTTAATTTCTTCCTGGCCTGGTGCCCTGACCAAGCATATAAGTTAAAGCAGAAAACGTAAATCCTTTTTAAGCCATCAAGGAGACAATCAAAATGAACTTCGTTCCGCAACAACTTGAAGATAACGCAACCTCTTTGGAAAAGCGTGACAGGTTTAATGCAACTCCGATCACCGAGACGCACAATATTAGAATAGTAAGTAAGACGCCTTTGAGAAAGGCCCCAACTAACAATAGCGACACAAGGTAAAAGAATTTCTCTGCTTCAACTTACTGAAACGGTGTTTGACCTTGGTGGAATATCTGGAATAGGACTTTCTGGTATAGAATCCACGGATTCTTTTCTTGTAACGTCGCTTTCCTTTCCGATGTTCACTGAAAAAGTGCAAATTGAGTCCCAGCGGATCAGAGAGATGTAAAGTAAGAAAAAGTACCTTGACTCGTGAACTGAAACAATTTGAAATCCATAAGAAAATGCTTTCTAGTTTGCATTTCCTAAAATCAAAGAAATTAATAAATCGTTCTTTAAGTATCTTGACAAATTTCTGGAAAAATATCAGGTCGCAATCGAATACCAACCTTTGACAGAGCTCAATTCTGAGCTTCCTCGGGGAGGAGGTCGAGGAAAAGTAGCCGCTCTACAAGAAAAATGTCCAATCAGCAACAGCACAACGAGTACGAGCTAGAATAACCAGGTGGTTACCACGATGGAGTCCGAAGAACTGAGAGGTCTGGGTCTGAGCGGTGGCCGGGACATTTTGTTGTGTTCTTATGCAAGATACTTCAATCTTACTACGTCTCTTTTTCTCCAGGTGTTAGGGAGACTTGATGAAGCGTTGGGGAGGGGAGGGAGGGGGGATGAAACCCACGACATTCGTTCAGAGAGAGCAGCGATACTTCTTGTCGCTTCATATTACTGAAAGGAACTAGGAAAAGCTCGGGGCCTATGGGAATCATTTTTAAAAGTAAAACAAAGAAACCAATATCGCGTTTCACGGAAACGATGCGGTAATAGAGAGATTTAGCACCGCGTTTACGTGAAACAGCAAACGTCAGCTTGCCCTTATACGTTTCACGTAAAATAACGTGAACCTTTCTACTTTCGCTTCGCGTGAGCTCACTTCAAGTTGGATTTGAAGACGCCCTTATCCCGGTAATTAACTTGTACTCTTTGAGAGAAAAAAAAGAAAACTTACGTGCACGGCAAACGCGAAATAGGTCTACTTGACGTGGAAACAGCAAAACGCAACCGGCAAACGTGAAAAATGGCAGGAAAAACAACGTCACGTGGACACTCCTGGCGTTCACGTCTCACGAAAACGCGGTGCTAAATCTCTCTGATAACGTTACCATTCGGTGGAAAAAAGAAAACTGCATGAAGGAATAAAAAATTAATATTTTCGGTCGGCCTGTTAATGAAAACTTGCGCCTTGAGAATAAAAATTGAGGAAATCACCTTAACAAGGAACGACACTTCAAGGGAAATCGAGTAAATATCGCGTGACATTGGTGGTTACGTGTCACGGCGTGACGCGAGGGGCAAAATATCATTACACCAAACGAAGTCATTATTCTACTTACTTGGATGCCATAACTTCCCCATTAGCCAGCAATGGAGTACTAGAAGCGACCCGCATGGACCCTGGCTTTAGGGGCCTGGGCGGAGGAAGTGGTTTTTCCTCCTCTTTGACTTCCTCTTTATCAAGAGGTGACGATAGCTTTTTCTGAAAAGGTGGCCTTGAGTCTGCTGCTCGTGGGATGTCCTCGCCGAAAGGCGTCCTCCCTTCAGATTTAGACCTCCGGTGTGTGGGGAGGGGAGGTGCGACGGGTTTCCCCTCCCCGCCAGCTCGTTTAGGGGCGGGGACGGGCGGAACAGGTGGAGCTCTTCGATTTATCGTTTCCGCATAGCGGTTTTTTGGATCAGTAGCTGACTGTTTGGAGGCTGCTACCCCAGGATCGTCAAACTTTGGTTTAGCAGGTAACGGAGGTAAGGGGACGTCAACACCAAATCGCTTCTCTCGACTGACAGAGCTGCAGCGCACAGGAGGCACAGGTGGGGGAGACTCAGCCTGGTCAGCAGCTGTACTGTCAGCACTGAAAAGAAGTAAAAGAATCTTCCTTAGATAAGTTTGGATTTTTATTAAGGTAATAAATCGTACAAAACATGCGCAATAGTTTCACATACACGTCCTCTCTCCAGCTCGTGTTACTAAATGTATTAAAGTGCGCCTACTAAGCGGGCTACGGGTTGGTTAGAATGTGCGAGTAAATCCCAAGATTTCAAATTATGTGTGGATCCTGTGTCCTTCAAGAACATCAGCCAACAAGCAAATACAACAAAAATAAATTCACGACTTACGGTTTAGTCTTAGGCCCGTGACCGAAGGTGCTCGTTGTAGAACTGAACGTGCTCTCAGAAAATGACGACGGAGCGTACATACTCGCCCGTACATTCACAGCCACTGTCTCCACATTTGTGCCCGAAGGGCGGACAGCTGCCCTGCGTCTTATTACAGGAGACCCCGCGGAAACTTTGTCCAGACCCGGTGAATCACTTCCAAAGAGGGTCAGTCCAGATACTAGGGGACTGACCCCTGAGAGTCCCAGCATTCCCTTGGCGTATCCCCCTCCGGGAGGAAACATTTGACTGACGGGTCGCGTGGGTAAATGGCGGCGGTGACGGGGAGGGGTAGGAGGACTAGACCGACCCTAAAAATAAACAAAAAAAAAGAAAAAAAAATCTGTTTCACAAGAGGAGTCGAACCCAGACCTTTGGATTTGGGTTCGGCTGCGTTATCAGTGAGCTATACAGAACTCGAGGTTGAGCTTGACCATCAATGAGGTCACATGCGCATGCACAAAGATAAGTGGCCTGCAAACTGCCGGGATCTGCAGAGATGTGGAAAGCTTCATGTATTGTTACAGAGACTTTTTCGAGGACACAAACAATGCAGCCAATTGTTCTTTGAGCTGTTTCAGTCAAGGTCTTCGTCATACTTCGTTCAGAGAGTTGCTTTCGACTGTCGTACGCTCACGTCGTAAATTTAGTTCAATCCTTACTCACTCAATGTAAGAGGAATTTCTTAAGTTACCTTTCCCTCACTTTTCGAATCATTCAATCCTTCCTCGTCGCTGAATTCTAGTTTAACGTCCAACAGTTCTGCAGGGTTATCGTAAATTCCATCAGCCTGGGAAATAAAAGAGTTATTCGCGAATTTTCTTTGGGAAAATTATTTTTCCAGCTACTCATTATATCTTGGGACTTCCAAGGTTGAAGAAAACGTTTACAGTAAAGACAACGAAGGACGATCACCTCATTGAGTCCCCAGTCGATCTTGACATTTTCACAGTGGGCCATCTTACCAGAAGCAGTCACTTTTAACTGAAAAAAAAAAGGCTTTAATGTTGTTCATTTTGAACATCAGAAGAAACATAATTAACCGTTTAAGACCTTTTAAACAAAAAATTAGCAAATTGAGCTTAAGGATCTGAAGAACTGAACAAAACGTACCAATTCAATAGATTCTGTGTGACTTAATCCTTTCGAAATGTCCATCGGCGTTTTACCCTCCAGATTTTCTGCAGAAGAAAAAGCATAATCTATTATTTTCGATGCAAATAAATCTTCAAAACTTCTCGCCGTTTTAGAACTGGGGGAAACCGCAATTACCCTTTTCAAGAAAAGCTTTTGGTATTCCCCGTGATGAAAATACGAGAAGTGAAATATTATCATTTGTTTCACATTCGTTTCGACTGTATTCATAAGAGGCGACAAGGTCGACTGAGCACGCAGAAAGTTTGAGAGTAAGAGGAACGCTTCGGGAAATCTTCGATAAAAACACGATAAGCGACCGAGTTTTATCTCCCAATCTAAATAACACGAGTTGCCCGAAAAAACTGTGACGTCAGCTCGGTACCATCATATTGACGTCAATGTTACCAGGCCACAGTGATCCCCGTTGAAAACCGCTGGCTCATTTGAGAGCAGAAATCCAACAGGATGTTTGTTTTATAGGCCAAAAGTCAGTGTACAGATGATTCCCAGTGGGTACATACCAAGGCCAAGACTATCTGTAGCGCCAGCTCTCAACAGAACTCGCATACATTCTGTTTTACTGGAAATTGCTGCCAAATGAAGCGCTGTGTTTCCATTTTTATCTGTCACGTTCACACCATTGCTTGAAAAAGAAAATAAGTAAAGAAATAAATGAATACATTCGTGGACATACGATGGAATTAATAAATTAAAATAATATAATAAAAAAATACAAAACAACATACAAACATACAAACTTACCAATGACTGACAAACTTAATGACCGAACGAGGAAACGAGCAGACGACTGAGCGATAGGCCGACCGATCGAGCAAATGAACGAAGGAACGATCAACGACCGATCCCACAATCACACGTACGAACGGAACACGGACGACCCAACGAAGAAACAAACGGGTGAACTAAAAGTTTAGCAGAAGAATGGAGCGACCGACTGAAACACCAAAGGCAAAGTTTTGCGACGAACTCGAGGTAATCTCGCGAAGAATAGCTTAATAACTGACATCGATGAAGAATTGCACATTTAATTCGTTCCGCTTTCCCTCGCCCTCGGTCACAGTTTCAATCCCCGTTCTTAGGTTTTCAATTTAACATTCAACTCACCAGTTCTGTGCTAAAAAGTCGACAATGTGTAGAGAGGTCAGATCCTCTTGTTCAACAGCTACATGAAGGGCTGTAGAATTGTTTGGCTGAAAGGAAATGGAAATCCAAAACATTTTACTTCCAGGGTTTGGTCATGGATTTCTTCAGCGTAAACCGCTTAGATAGCCGTACAATAATAAACGTTAGAGGTATTAAGTAAAGCAAAAACGAAATTGCTAAAATCAAACTAATGACAAAAAGAACGCCAACGAGTTTCTGGCAACACTAATTACCTTTGCATCAAGTTGTCCAAAAACAATTACTTTAAAGGTACAGTGTCTCACCATGCTACTCAATGCACAGGTAACAGCTAATTTCATACTGGATGCGATGAACATATGAAGTTCATATATTTTGAACCGCGGTTATAGATACGTATGATGCACGATCCTCGCAGTAGAGAGCGCTATTTATGCAATAGCGAAAATCAGACCTGAAAAAAAATCAGGCCTGTACGGGATTCGAACCACTGACCTCTGCGATACTAGTGCAGCGCTCTACCAATTGAGCTAACAAGCCAACTTAGGGAGCAGGCCATTAAGTTGATTCGTAATAAACCCGTGATGATAAATCGGATACGATGAATATATGAAGTTCATATATTTTGAATATATGAAGTTTATATATTTCATATTATTGGTAGAGCGCTGCACTAGCATCGCAGAGGTCAGTGGTTCGAATCCCGTACAGGCCTGATTTTTTTCAGGTCTGACTTTTGCTATTGCATAAATAGCGCTCTCTACTGCGAGGATCGCGCATCATACGTAATTTCATATTATTAGAAGTAATATCATGACATCGTATACATCTATTTAAAACTCACATGTCCGGGAAGAGGTGCTGAAAGCTCTACACCTTCAGCAAACGCTTGTAAAACAGCTAAAATGTCCTTTGACTTGACTGCTTGGTGAAGTTCCTGTTGAGAGAGGATTCGATGGGTTGGAGTTTATCAGAGGTTATACAACAGGAAACAAACGCCATGTTTGACCTTTAGCCCTTAAATAAACGTTACAGCTTACCTGAAGTATTTTTTCAGTATTATCGCCAGATTTAATCGCATATTTATGTTGAATATACTTCCCTCTAATAAACTCCTTTCTTTCATCCCTGAAGAGAAAAAATTAATTCAAACAATAAACAAGGTTATGAGCGATTTCGGCCTCTACACCTTTAGATCTCAGCCAAAATAAACTGAACAACAACAAAAACGCCGAAAACAACTTCGGCAACTTACATTTTACTCGAAGCAGTCGGCTTCTCATTGTAGTCCAAAGTTGCTTCCATAATTTCATTGAATCCTCCATTACCTACAGCTTTCGCTTGCTGAAAAAGAGAGAACAAACTTAAAATTCATCATTGTACAGTTTGGTATAGACACGAAACCAGCACACATGGCAGTTTCCGCAACATTAAGCGACTAGGAGAATTGTTACTGTCCCTGGAAGGGATGCGGTTTCCACTTCCCTACCCACCCTTCTCCCCCTGAAATTCATTAGGACTCCAATAGTTTGCTAGTAGCATTCTTTACTTCACAGTGAGAGTAAAATGTTTTGTCAAAATGGCCAGGGCAAGGCTCAAACCCAGGCCTTTCAATCAGCGCGGTAACATTGTAAATATCTCAGCTCCGTCGCCCACAATGAACTTGTTTAACGATGAGATAAAACAATCGAAATTTGTTACGAGGTCACATCTCACCAGCAATTCTACAGTGCCGAGTTTGTCGAGTTCAATGGATCGTATCCTAGAGATATGAACACCCATATCTCGGTGAATTCCTGAGCACTCAATGCACAGTAAAACGCCTAGGTTTGTGGCCAGCCATGTTGGATCTATAAGAGAAATATAACAAAAGTTAAAAATTACATTTTCTCAAATGTCTATACCTTTTTGAACCTAAAAGACATTTTCTCTGCTCTAACCCATCACTAAATTGTATCAAAGACACTTGGTAAGGGATGGGCTATAGCTTTGGAAAAAGGGGAGGGGGGGTGGGTTGGTGGGATTTTGAAACTTGCAAGACTCTTTCATTATCCTCCTAAAGAGGGTTCTCGTTAACACTCAAAGGTTGGAATTTGTTTTATTTTAATAGTTTATCTGCACCTTTCGTCCTTGTGAGCTTTTTTTGCAATATTTCGTGGATACATACTCGGCTTTCAGTTTTTATTTCATGCGAGGTTTCATATTCACCTTTTCCAGAACAATCAGCACAAGTGTCATTTCCTGGCAATCTTCGAACCTGGGAGACAATGCTCTGTCTCAGCTGAAGAACAAAAACAATGAAAAAAAAAAAAAAACATGAAAAAGTAAGGACTTGTGATCCTGCTTAAGGTAATTCTGTGGTGTCACGCATTTTTTTAACTTTACCTCTTTCAGATTGCAAACCAATGAACCGTCTTCCTCGGACTGAAAAACAGATAAACCAAAATGCTTTAGCCATGACAAAAAAATTTAAGCACGATAGAAGTTAGCTTCTAGTTCATAACACAAAGATGCAATAGTGAGGAAACATCACATACTTCAAAACAATATGAAATACCTGATTTTAATCAAATTTAGTTAATTTGTAAAATCAACTGACACAAACTTGCCAGTGTCCATTACCTCAGCCTTGTCACTGTCTCCAAAAGCTTTTTCTAAGGCTTCAGTTCGACTATTGTTAAGTACAGAAACCCACCTGGAAACAGTATTGACGCGTTAAGTTACAGCAGAACAATTTCCAGTTGAATATCTAGAGTAAGATTTATTGCTGCTCGACGTTTCGGAATCATCATGAATCCATTATCAAGAGACTACTTAACTAGCATGCAACTAAGGAAAAGGTACAAGATAAGCATAAATTACAATAAACGGCCTAAACAAACACCTTAGGCCGTTTATTGTAATTTATGCTTATCTTCTACCTTTCCTTAGTTGAATGCTAGTTAACTGGTCTCTTGATAATGGAGTCGTGATGATTCCGAAACGTCGAGCAGCAATAAATCTTTCCTGGTTTTTTATATGCATTTGCTTCAGCAAATCTCTACAGATCAAATATCTAGAGTCATCCGCAACTGCACTGGTCGTCCTCAACTGATTGGTCCAAAACTTTCGAGCCAAATTCTCAACCTATCAGATGCAAACAAAAACCAACTAAAACGCGTGTTGGTCCCACACGTTTTCCCGCGCTTTTGACGGTTTGCTGGTTTTGACTGAGTTCTTATTGGTTCTTCACTAAATTTCCCTTTGTTCTGAATGGCTGAAGAGATGTCTTAAGTTTTAGTTTTAGATACCCTCTGATCTATTTAAACAATAGTGTTTCTGTCGAGGAACTATCGGACCGATAGTTCTGAGACATAAACACTCTATTGTTTTTATTGTCCACCACTAAATTTTCTTCCGCGCTTACAGCTTGTCACAAATGTCAATAATTCGCAACCGTACATTGGCTAAATAATACGTTATACCTGTCAGAATTGAAAAGTCACTGTTTTTCCGATCTGCCTAACTTCGCGGCCGTCAAACTATTCAAAACTTTTCACGGATGAGTACCATCAATCCAGGTATTTTCCGCGGACGGGCACTATCCCATCCGGGTATTTTCCGCGGACGGGCACTATGGGCTGATAGTGTCTCTCCACGGATGAACACTATCGCGTCTCGTGATCGATTTAAACGAATAAGAACCGGAGAAAATTTAGTGGTGAACTATAATGCGCTATAGTTTAGCAGATTAAAATAAAACGTATCTACGACTTTGGGAAAGAAGTCCCTTCTCTTACCTCGTAATCTTTAAATTGTGACAGATAAAAGGAAAAGTAAAAACAATTTACATCTAAGGCTCGATTTAAGTATGTAAAACTGAAGTGAAACAATTTTTTTTCATGAATTAATTTCGTCCAACTTACGCTTCCAAATCAGCTTCGTCATCTGCTTGAAATAAATAAGTTCTGTTGTCTGAAGGTAAAAAAAGGCTGCCACATAAGTACTGAAGAGCTGTCAGCTGTTATTGTTTACAATGTCTGTCAAATACGAGACCTCAAACTCACGTGATACAATGTTGAAAGTATGTTTCTTTCCCTCCTCTTCCTGTAGGGCAAAACAATTTACTTGTCAAAAGTCTTTTTTAAACTCTCTGACTTTTTGTTTGCGCGGGAAAGTTTCCTCAAATGCAAGATCAATGAATCGAGTTTGAAAAATACACTTTTCCAAATCTTCTTTGCTATAAGAAAAAGCCTCCTACCAATCACATCATAAACCCTAACTCGCCATGGATGTGGCCCATGAGAGTCTAAACATTTAAGGAGTCCACATGTTCTGGAAAAGGGAGCCCATGTAAAAAGGGCCAAAATTTAAGTCTAGACACGAGAGAGACCCAACCGGGCACAGACATGAGATGCATATGGGGCAAATAAAGGAATGGATAGGAAAAGGTCCACATGTGTGCAGACATGATGAGAAGCCACCACAAGTCCAGACATGAGAAAGGCCCACAGGCACCAATTCAGGTTTCCTTACCTTGACTTGGCACACAAGGAGATTGAGTGTTTGAGTTGGTATGCTTGTCTAAAATTAAAAAAAAAAAAAAAAAATTGCAAAATATGTCATACATGTACAGTATACATGATATAGTCTCAGACCTGAAATAGCATTAATCAAGGAGAAACAAGCTTTCAATATAGTGTTAAAACTTTGCCAATGAAATTCCTCTTACCGGTGAATGAGCCAAAGTGAATTGACCTTCCTTTGCAACACAGTATCTTTTTTGCCACACTTTTCGCAGACTAAAAGGTATATTCAAAGTAATGTTGTCGCATATCAACAAATACTGTACGTGCACAATAACAACCAATAAAAGTAATGGGAGGTTAAAAGGGCAGCTTTTTTCAGGCTTTGATTCATTGAGTGAACAAGCTGAGAGAAGTACTGGTGCCAGGAAAGTTACACTTTTAGAAACTGTGCTAATCACTCAAAGACTATGCCACCTTTATTTTCATTCAGTGCTTCAAAAAGAGCTTCAAAAAGAGCTTTCTATGCAGGCCAAAAGAATTGTTCAAAAGAAAATACACAAGGGTAGGTTAATCTTGACTAATAACATCAATAATGGTCTTGACCTACTATGAACCATCTGTGACCTCTTACGCAAAAACGTTCTGAACCGTTAGCCGTTTTTAAACAGATAGCCGCTCAACAGCCGTTCAAACGGATTGGCATGCCGTTTGAACGCCTCAAGCTATCCGTTGTAAAATATTCATCATCCATCGCAGATAAGTGGGATCTCATCTGGCCTACATGTGAAGTACATCTTAAAATTTAACAAATGCGATTCAAGTCGAGTCAAAAAATTTACCAAGTGAAATTTTGTATCTGAACCTGCATCTGACCTTAAAACAATACTGCTACTGCAATATGGCAGTCAAACTATACCTCCCAAGATCTTAAGAAAAATTCTGTAAATTTATGGCAATAAAATTCTTTGTTTTCTATCCATGACAGCCTGGAGTATTCTCTCAACCATGACAATATGTTGAACTTACCCTTCACTCCGTTTCTGTAAAAACCCAGCTCTTTCATTGCCGTGCAATTTATCACCTTGCTGTCCATGTAAACTGTAACCTCCTTTGCTTTGCGATGACTGTGTTGACTGAAATGGTTGATAAGAAATTAAATCAAAGGCTGCCTATGGAAAACTGCTCAGATAGTGGAAACTTGGACTGGCATATGATATGTACAATGTCTTTGTGGTGTCATTGTTTCCCAAACTTGTAAAAAAGTGAACTTACTTCTTTATCCACTTGTAGTTGGGATTTAATCTTATTCCTTAAGTCATTCAGTTCTTTTCTTTCCTCATCCTGTTGAGCTCTTAACTAAATAAACACAAAAAAAATTGAAGCTAAAATAAGTTGTGTCCACATTCCTTGTGCATTTTTGGTAAGCTGTAAATCCTTGCTGGTTGTGAACCTGTGGGACAGATACTGCTATAAACATCACTATCAAGGTGACTGCTTTTCTTCAATTTTCTGTAGAGTCAATTTCGTCTGCCTTCTCTGAGTAAAGTGGGATCCTCCTTGAAACATCAAAATTTGGACATGTTGCTAATGATTTTCAGGATGCCTTGGTTATACTCAGTTCAATCTAGAATCGGGTTGTTGGTGACAATGATGTTTATAGCTGCAGTATCTATCTCACAGACTACAACAAACATTGACTTTAATACAATTTAAACACAACATTCATGTTACATCACTACCACAATGCCTGAAAAATATTACATTTTAATCTCTTTACTTTAAGGAATGATTCAGATGGAAATTTTAAGAGTAAACTCAGTTCATTACCCAAGTAACAGAGCAGGAGAACAACATACAGCTGTATCTATCAGTAACATGCTTTTATCTTGTCATAACACCAAATTCTTGAAACTAATTTACATGGAAATATATATCAGTTGGAAGGGAGGATTACTGACCAGATCTTGAGAGATAAAGACTTTTAAAAAAACTATATTTACCTGTTGAAGCTCCACAACAAGTTCTTCTAGATAACCTTTCATACTTTCTAGAACTTGTGATCCCAGCTGAAAATACCTGCGGAGACAAATTAAAACCAATGAAAAATTAACTTCCTTACAACTGAGTTAATTCTAGACAGAATTGGCAGTGATGGTGACCGATGATTTAGATGCACTTTCATATCCCTGTCAGTATCTCAGTATCTCTAGCTACCCCTCTCAGTATCATAACCCAGTGTTAACACAAATTGTTACTGGTGGACTGCTGTTGAGTTCAGAGAAGGAAGGTGCATAGTTGTTTGTTGGTCTGCACTATCAATTAATTCAACTCACGTGACTTGCGCATAATAGAACTCCACTAGATGTTGGGCAAGTTCCACTCCCTTCTTCACTTTTATCTCATTCACCTTAATCAAAAGCTTGGAAAGAAAAGAAATATAAAATCATAATGAATAAAAATTTAGCTTGATAAAAATTGCGAATCTGTTATTCAGGTAATGAGTAATCAACACTATCATGCCTTAGAGAAATCCTTGTCAACCCTTACACAGAAAGAAGATAAATTTAAATATAAAGTTAGTTACTTATGCCCTCAGTTCCACTTGGAGTAAAAAGCATCAAAGATCTCCCTCAATGATAAAGTCTCCCATGAAAAAAAAAATGTGTATCTCTAACAAAATAAAATGTACACTTGTGTACCAGGATGATACCTCACACATTTGTAACTGGAAAATTCTCCTCTCTCTTTCTGTTTCTTCTGCCATCTGATTTAAATGAAAAAAAAAATTGTCTCAAAATTAACATCAGCAAATCTCTTGAGCTCAGAGAAGAAATCTGCCACAGCTTGCTTCATGATAATATTAATTTTACCATTTCCATCACTTACCTCTCCACCAGTGACTTCTGTCCTTAGAAATCCAGCCTCTTGAGCCACCTTCTTTTTCTCTTTCTCTATCTTTGCCCTATCAAAATCCACACAAAATTTAGAAACAAAATAATGTCAGTAAAGCAACGTAATTAAGAGTTAAGCATTGTCCATCCACAACAAGGTCGAGTCTTTGATGCAAAGTCGGTCCAGACTCCTCTCAACGCTAATATCAGTATGCATGTTTTCCATGCATTTGATGCAAAGTCGGTCCAGACTCCTCTCAACCCTAATATCAGTATGCATGTTTTCCATGCTGTATCCATACATTTCCTAAAGGTGTTTACAAAGAAAATTTGTTAAACAATCAAGAGCTTCTTTAGTTAGTGATCATTTCCTTTGTTCTTGTGACTTTAAAGTGCATATGACACAAAACTTTTTTCTCTTGTTTCTTGTAGTTGGATATCTATAGAAAACGTTTCGAAGCCTTTAAAGTGCTGGAAAAATCTAAAAAGCATTTTTTTGCTTTCAAAATACGTGCAATTTGCCTTCAAATTTGTCCGGGTCATTAGGCTAAAATCGCATGTGATATCGTAACGTGACATCACATTGTGTACCTCAATGGAACTTTCAGAAGAGTCGGACTCAAAGGAATCATTAGAATCGCTGGACATCTTTGCCTTTCAATGCACTATCTATCTACTACAAAGTACTGCAGAATCCCCTTAGCGACAACAGACCTTTGCGACAAAGGTACACAATGTGATGACGGTGATAAACTTGGTCCCTGTCTCCGGGACAAATTTGAAGGCAAATTGCATGTATTTTGAGAGCAAAAAAAATGCTTTTTACATTTTTCCAGCACTTTTAAAGCGTTGAAACGTTTTCTATCGATATCCAACTGCAAGGAACAAGAGAAAAAAATTTCGTGTCACATGCACTTGAATGTGTGATTGAGGGGTGTTGCTGAAAGGAAAAATTAGATGCTGGTCGGTCTTACGGGTCAGAGGGTTAAACAATAGATTAATAATAAATAAATTAAAACACAATAAATTAATATGTGATTGAGGGGTGTTACTGTAAGAAAAAATTAGAGGCTGGTCGGTCTTACGGGTCAGAGGGTTAAACAATAGATTAATAATAAATAAATTAATAAACAATAAATTAATGTGTGATTGAGGGGTGTTACTGTAAGGAGAAATTAGTTGCTGGTTGGTCTTACAGGTCAGAGGGGTTAAACAATTGTCCTTTTTACAGTTGTGGGCTTGGTGGCCAAGCCTTTGAACAGGAGTGAGGCTAAGGGTGACCTAGCTTCTTATCATAGAGATGTTGCTGCTTTTCAAATGCAAATCACTTTGTTATCATGCTAACTAGATACAGGTCTCTACCACAACAGGGCCACCCTTAGCCTCACTCCTGTTCAAAGGCTTGGCCATCAAGCCCACAACTGTAAAAGGGACTATTGTTAAGGTCTTACACTTTGGCCTCATAATCCTTCCACGCCTTATCAAATGGCTTCCTCATATCCTGCAGAAACAAACACTCAAAATTCAGTTTATGAAATGACCAAATAAAATCTCTGCTTTTCTGCCTTCACAATACTAAACAGAAATTGTAGTATTTCAAGCCAAGAAGCCCATTTACAGCTTGTACCTGATAAGTTTCTCTTTTATTATAACCTGTCTACAAGATGATGTATTTGAGATGCAATGAGAAGTTAAATCTTAATCACTTCTGTGTTCTAAATATCAAAACTCAACACTGTTTGCCATACATTTAATACATTTTCAGCTACAAGAATTTACCATGAAATCAGACATTGCTCACAAATCAATATGTTTCTATCTTAATCTAATAGCTTCGCCAACCGCCAGGGACACCACAACAGCTTGCACCAATAACTGCGGGCCCAATAAGCCCACTCATCCCACCCCAGTAATCTTGTGTGTGGGAAATTAATGTCTACTACCCCAACCCTGCAAGAGACAGGATTTATTCGTTGCTATCCGAGAATACTAGAATATCTAACCATTTCTTGATGTTATAGAAAGGCAGCAAATTCTTCTCAATTATTTTAAGACCCTGAGTGTTGGTCCGGCTGGGGCTTGAACCCTCGACCTCCCGCACAACAGTCCAGCGCTCTATCGATTGAGCTAACCGGGAGGCGGTTCTATCTTATCAACACCCTTCTGTTCAAAACTGTATTAAAATTGTAACGAAATTCCAATTTGATCAATCCACAAGGTTAATCCTTTAACTTCCAGAAGTAATTAACATGTAACTTCTCCTATAATATCCATACATTATCCAGCAAACAGCTGATGAGAATACTCAAACTTATCAGGTAGGAGTTGTAAGCTTGATCTAAAACCAAATTCTCATAATCAATTCTTAACTAAGGAAATGTGTAGCAGTTAGAGGAAGAAATAACATCAGATCTTTGGAGTTAAATAATACTTACCCCTTTTACATCTTTCATGTCTCCTTTTAGAAGAGAGTCCAGTGGAAACAAAACCATATTGTGATAATTGGTGAACTGTTAATAAAAGAAATAAAAAAAAATCTATGGTTAAATACACATACATCTAACTTGTAAGTTATATCTAAATTTTATTGTTTTAAGGAGCTTAAAATTTAATTAGTTTATAACATTTAACCCTTTGCACTCCAAAATTGGCATTCATATTCTCCATACTGTTCTTACACTTCCCATGATATTCACAAGGAGAATTTTTTAGTCAATCAAGAGCTTCTTGAAAAGGTGATCATTTCTTTTATTCTCATAACCTTGACTATTGTTTCAAAGGTGACATTGTGAGGAGAAATTAGATGCCAGATACTCTTAGAGGTTAAAGGTGTAATGGAGTTAAAATCAAAAAGGGTTACTCACTATTATGATAAAAAGAAAATAATTCAAATACTGGAAAATTATACACGAACGATCGACATTTCGGCCATATCATATGGCCTTCATCAGGAAACTGATTGTTCATCTATAATTTTTCAGTATTTGAATTATTTTCTTTTTATCATATTCTCAACTGGATGACTGATACAATTCATAGTTACTCACCATTGTTTTCATAACTGAGCAAAGTTCCTGCAGAGAGGGGGATGCGAATATGAGTTACTACTGATTTCAGTTAAATATAATTAAACAAAGACATCTGTGAGTCAAAAGCTCACCTAGTGTGTTGATTACATATAATTTGACAGTGTGATTCAAAATACATGTACTGTTTTTTCTTTGTTTCTCATTCAACAAGAAATCTTTGAAAGGCATCACTTAGAATTTAACCAGTTGGCAATTTCCTTAGAGTGTTATTTCTCCAACAAAGAACACACAACATCTAGGCTGTTGTCAGTATGTGTAAAGATTTGCTGTAACAAATCTATCCCTTATAGTCATACATGATTCAACCAATTGTTTCTTAATTGATAAATTATCACATCTCAGTAGATTTACCACAACCTGAAGGAGTTTGAANGGGAGGGCAGACTCCATACTGTTATTATTAATGGGAGGCTAACTAATATGGCATGATGCTCTGTTTTCAGGAGAGTTTCTGTTATGGTTTGTGCAGAACTGGAAAATTTAGCCTAAAAAAATCCCACACTATGTTAAATTCAAGTTGTACAGATTACATAGACTTTTGAACTTGTGTTGTAAAAAATTAGGTTGGAAGTACTATCACTAACCTTAAATGTGACTGAAAACTTTAGAAATGCAGTACCTAGAAGAGAGTGTCAAATGATAAAACTCAAAATTAAAGAAATGTTTTGCTTGCCACTTGGACAATACATATACTTTCATTGGCTACAAAATCACCAAAAAGTGGCTCAAAATATTTCTTTAATAGTGTAGCATAAGTACCCATTGTAAATAAATAGCAACCACAAAGGATGGTATCCTCCTCTATTTGTACATGCTCACAAAAAAAAAACACTCATAAATGGTAAACATATATAAATATACATATATGGAAAGTTGGAGAAAAGACAGGTAAGTATATATCCCCTGTTTCCTTAATATTCGACCATAAAATAGTAGATGTATGGGTGCTGTCAGAAGGGGACGTTGCTTCTCAATTTTGGCCAATAAGAGGCATGCTATTTTAAGACAGGGAGTGCTTATTGAAAGCGAGACAATTTTTTAAATTTTGGCCAATAAAAGAATGATATTAGAGGGAAAGAAGGAGTTATTTGAGGGGGGGAGGCAATAATGTCAAATTTTAGCCACTTGAAAGGGCTATAACCCATCTATATTCCAGGGGAATACAAATACACACATTTACATTTAGAAGTCAGTGCATGTTCACAAAGGTAGAACTTACCAATGCCAGTATCTGCCTCCTTTGAAAGGGACAATGTACCCAACTTTTCAAGACTCTCAGCTAACGACAGCTGATTTGTAGAATAGTCTGGAATTAAAAATCAACATATTCACTAAGACAGCCTGGAATCATAGACTAACATACACATTGACTGCCCTTCTCAGTTGATGAAAATTTTTTTCGGACAGTTTCCTGCAGAAAATTTGGAGCTAGCTCTTGGGAATTTAAGGGGGATGCTTACTTAATCCTGCAGCATGGACAGCCTTGCTTGATTTCTTCAATTTATTCAGTATGTTGTAATCTTCATCAAGACTCTACATGAAGTAAAAAAAAAAAAGTGTAAATCAACAAAAAGATTCACACATTAATTTCAAAATAACGTCATTTAATGACCAGCTCCCATTTGACTTCAGGATGACCTCAGTTTTCCCACTGGAACTCCAATCTTTTCCAGGCTTGAAAAACAATATACAATACTTGGGTTTGAATGTAACTTGGATATATACAAAGTTGAAATGGTAAATTGGCCACCATAATGATTACAAAAGCTGACGTTTACAAATGATTACAAAAATGATTACAAAAGCTGACATTCGCTCCGACGAAGGGCTAACGCTCGAAACGTCAGCTTTTATAATCATTACAGTGGCCAATTTACCATTTCAACTTTGTTGATATATCCAAATTATTTCACTACTCCCACCGACGCAGCCCCAAACAGTTTCTTTCGAAACTATCAGCCTTTATTCATTTGAATGTAACTGTCATGGTATTTCTCTAGTTGAAAGTTTTAGAAACCAGTGTATTTTGCATTGCTGATGAGTTGCTCCTATGCTGAATATCTAAATGTGTATCATTATTTTGTTATTGTATTCCAGGTTTCATTACCAATTAATATCCTGCTAAAAGGAATAAATTGGTTTTTCCAGTTATTGGTCAAAATTGAAGATTTTTTAGACCCAGTTATAGGACTATCTAGTAATCTGCATGTGTATACAGAATGTAAAAAATTACCTCTGAAGCTCACATCTCTTCACATAGATTGAGAGATACAACATTGTATTTCCCCTCTTGCATAATTAACAAAGAGGACAAGGAACTTGTCTTGTCTAAAATTTGTCTTGGCAATAATTAAAATTATTACACGACTCGGGCAGTCAGAGGGCCAATAACTAACCTCAACCAATCAAAATGCTCTTTTGCCGGTCAATATTCTCTAAGTATTGTACCGGGCACTGTCCCGAATGGTCCCGAATGATACTGCACTTGTGTCCCTTTGAACTTCAGTTGTATAATAAATCTCTTATTAACCAAGCTTGCTTGGGATCGTACTGGAAGAATATCGGCCCTTGGTCTTTTTTGTATGGACCTCGCTGCGCTCGGTCTGTATTGTCAAGACCTCAGGCCAATATTCTGCCAGTACAGCCCTCGCTCTTGGTTAATAAGACATATATAATAACTAGCAGATCGTTCAAAATTTTAAACTCATTCTTTGATAACCATGTTAAAATGTGACTAGAACAAGCAACCGCTAATGATTTTTGGAAACAGAAAGTCCTTCGTTGACACAAGGTTTCAATAGAAACAAAGAGCAAATACTATTTAACCGTGAAAAAAAAGTGACCACAGGATAAGCTTGTTTATTTGAAAATGGCATTCCGTCACTCACTCGAATATAAGTTTACGCAAAAAGAATTTGGTAAACATATTTGACAGAGCTCAAACTGACAATATTATGTGAGATGAAACCGTTTGGTATCGGCGTTATATAAACTCTGTGGGTTCACTGATGCACGATTTAATTTGCAGAGTGATGATCAGAGTGCTAAATTTTAACAAGACATGGATTGGTATTGCTATCGTTATTAATGAAGAACACCAAGTTGACTAAATGTTTATAAATACAACTGCCGATCATGGAATATGGATGCGGTACATGCAATTAGTCTAAAAGCTATAAGTTACGTTTATCTTCATTATCAGTCCAAATTGATAACGCTGCAGATATCCTTCAGTGACCAGAAAGATTTATTGCACGTATGACACCAAAACGAAGTTTCGTGAAAACTTACCTCCTCGAGAGCTCCAACAGTGTTTCGACAGGCATTCATTGTCGACATAAAATTCGAGGTTGTAGGCGAAGAGACATCTTCTCTAGCTTCCTTCAGGAAGCTCTTGACATTTATTCTGTCTGGCATAATGACTGGTTTTGGTAGGGTTTCAATTCGGATAGCTCATGTAGCGGACATTTGTGAGATGATCATGTCGACTGCGAGACGTAATAGATCGATCGAAAGTTTCCGGCGAATTACGCGTAGTGTCCAGGTCCCCGCAAAGTGACACTCCCACACTTCGCAGCCCCAAACCGGAAACCAAACCTTTCCGAGGCACAAGACAAGAGTTTCTTTCAGCAAGTTTAACGAAACCACAAAATAACTTCAACGACCTGTTTTTTTTTTTCCGGCGAATTTGTTTTTTCCATTTTTTGACATTTTTTCGCCGCTTATTAAAAAAATAATTCGACTTTTTGCTGGAGAATAAACAATTGAACTCGAAACTCGAAACTACAAGAATCTGCTTTGGAATCTTCGTTCGAAACATCCGATAAAATAAATAAATTAACAATTAGATAAAAAATGAAACATTGATATGTGAAAGGTCTTACTCAATCTTAGGACAATGGTCGAAAAAATATTTTAAAAAAATGTGGAAATTCTTTAAAGACACTCTACTTATTCTACGTGTTTTAGCATTAATTTAAGAACGTATGTCATAGAGAAATAAATAACAAAGCTGCTAGGTTTTCCGTAGTCTCCCTCGCATCCGTTTTTTTGGATGTCACGCAACGCTCCCCCAAAAGTTCTTTTGGGGGAGCGGTGCGTGACATCCAAAAAAAACGGCTGCGAGGGAGACTAGGTTTTCCGAAGAATCCTGTATAATGTAAATTAGTAAAGGTTAACAAATAAGGTGCTCTGTAGACTTCCTGTCCCTTTTTTATGATTCCCCAGGGGTCAATGATGATAATAAATTAAATCTTCTCAAGATTATCGGGAGTTGTTAACTGTTGCTGAACCAAATTTGAATTGAAGAGCAACGACATGAAAATATTTAGTTCATAGACAGGTTTCCCTGTCTTTGGATAGATAACACTGGATAGATAACATTGCATTCTTGCAAAGTATGCAGGCTGGAAGTGTAAAAAAAGAGGTGTAAGATTGAGGTAACCTAACATCATGTAAAAAATGGGAGTTTTTCGTTCTAACTCAAATTTTGCCAGTCCAAGTAAAACAAAATCCAATTTCATATTTACCAGTTTTTGCAGCTGTGAGAAACTTAAATCCAGATGACCAGATCTTATATCTTAGATCCAGCCACCAGAACTCGTTAAGCTCTCAAGATCCTAAGCCAGTTAAGTAATATTTTTCAAATACTTCTACAATCGGATTAAGCTTAGTCAATGTGATAGTGACGTCACCTGATCGACTCCTCTCATCAGAGGAAATCGGCTTTACAGATGGTCACAGATGGTCACAGATGGGCACAATAATCTCTCAGATTACCTGAACTCTAAAGCTTCTTTTAAAGAAGTAAGACGATTCCTATAAACTATTTATTTTTCCACCACCCAGCTGCCCACTTTTTTAGAAAAAATTCAGATGCACTACATGACAACTAATATAAAGTTTACTATTGTTGAAAAAAAAAAAAGAAAACGAATTCATGTTAACGGAGTTGGAATGGATGCAGATTCTTACGTGGAGTTAAAAATCGCAAATTTACACCAAAGGCTTGAGAAAGAACGACACGAGTCTGAGGAGTTAGCGGAAAAAAAATAACCCAAATCAAATAAAATCTTTTCTATCCAGCGGTCAATTATATAAATTTTCTTCCGTTTTGTATAATTTTTTTATAATTTTTTTTTTATTTATTGATTTACTTTTATTGTTCGTCATTTCGATCGGGATACTTCCACGAGAGGAATGGCTATAGAAAATGGAACATTTTCGAAGAAAGATGTGACTTGTGCTATCAGATCTTATCACGTTGACAGGTTAGAACTACAGAGCAATTAATGTACTTTAGGTTCTTCTCTCGACTTCGTATGTAACACGGTCGATTTACAGATTCCAAAGAACTTGATTCAGCATGATTCTGTATCGAGTACCTCCTTTGAACAATTTGGGAAGTTCTTAATATCTTGCTATTGTCTTTTTTTTTGCCCCTTCGTGTCCACGTCCTGTTGAGTTCGCTCAGAGTTGCTCTCCCATTTCAAAGCTTAAGGTTGGATTTTCTAGCAAGAGATCAAAAGGGGGTCTCTTGACTCTAAGATTTTTTCTTACAGTGATGGCGAGTTTAAAAACGATGTGTCATTGTTAATATAGATGATGCATGCTCCTCTTGCCGAAGCATGCGTTGTCAAACAATCCATTGTTTCCCACTCATATCAGAAATAGGGTACTTGATGCTAATTATATTACTGGAGATGAAGTAGTTTTATTTTCAGGCATTAGCAAATTCTTGAACGATACGATGTTAAAGGTCTCCGACATTTCTACGTTTGACAGCTGTGTTTGAGGAGGTTCAAAGTCTACCTTCAAAATTTCATTTTAATACCGTGACACTACTCCGTCATAAATTTCAGGATCACACACAACAAGTTTGACGGGAAAAATTCGTTTCAAGCAAAACACCTTGTCGTTGATTCATCTTAAATCGTCACAATTCATCAAAAATTTTTGCAATTTTGTTTGGCTGGGTGTGGCGGTCTCTAATATGCTTTGTTTCGGAAATAATTTATCTCTATTTGCCAATTGATTAAAATAGCTACCATTTGCGAGCCACCCTAATTTAACCACTGATTAAGGAAGCTCTGATCCTACACCACACGGAACCGTTTTAGTTTGCAGAAATACGAAACGTGATATGCTGAGGGTTTAAAAGGGGGTTCATAGAATTAATTTTGGAGTTATGGATGCACACAGCTAAAACTAGGTACGATTTAACCTTTAGCCATCAATATCTGATTGCTAATTCTCCCCTCTAGCCGTTACATATTTCATTGTAAATTAGTTACGAGTATTAAGGATTGGATCAAGATAACTTCTACCTGATAAGTTTCAGTGTTCTCATTACCCATTTCCTGTATAATGTATGGGATATTATAAGGAGAAGTTACATGTAAATCACTAAGGGGAGTTAAGGATTAATGGGATATACCGCTGCCATAGAAAACATCTTCTCAGAGCATTTGACAAGTGCTGATTGGGAATCATCATGACAACTTCATCGAAACCGTGAAGTTCTTCCTGTTGACTGTAGGCAATATGGATGTCTTCAGAGCTATTTACAACTTTCAAGACAAGTTTTCAGTACTAGGCGTGTTCATTATGAATATTAGCTGCGGCTATTTGCGTTTTTGTGGTGACAGTCGAACAATAGGAAATAATAATAGGAAACAGTTAATTGCATTCTTTGCCAGCCTCACTTTTCCTTTTACAGCGATGAGAAACGCACACCTAAACACCTAAACTGGTAGTAATTTCACCTCCTTGTCTCATACACTTACCCTCCCAACCCTCCCGATCCCGATTTACGGGGTGTCAGAATATTACAAACCAAATCGCGGCCTCCTGTTCTGCTCTCTCGAGACCAAATCTTCCGAATAAAATTCAAATTTATACTTTTTGTATAACAGGGAAAATCCAATACATATTCTGCCTCATTAAAAACAGATGGTGTTACGCTCGAGGACGGCCGTATCTATGTGCCGGTTTCAGCGACTTACAATCTCAGTGGCCGCTGGTTGGTGAGGGGAGACTGGGACAAATATAATTCAAGGGGGACGAACAAATTTAACTTGAGGGTGGTGGGTTCTTATCTTGTCATCGTCTATTCACACTTCGATGGCTTTAGTAACTACCTAAGGAGATTAAGAGCAGACGATACTCCAAGGATCCAATTAGATGCTGCATAGTATGGTTCTCAAATAGAATATTTCGTTTCAATGGTTGTTACCCGAGGTTAGATGATCCTGAAGATGTAAGACAATGGTTAAGTGGAAGAGTCTGACAAAAATCTTTGACGAAATTTTCCACTAATTAAACAGATTCTGTTGCCCTGCGCCTGTTAAATAATAGATCACAGATGACGTCAAACGTGGTTACAACAAAATGTGGGACACGCGGTGCAGCTCAGTGTGTCACCGACCGCAGTATGACGTCACCCGTTACCTAATATTCTACAGACGGACGGCCGGCCAAGCCTCTGGGCAACTCCTCTACGTAAAAGGCAATCAAAATGCGTGTATAACTCAGGTAATAAAGTAATCTTAATTTTACAGGAGAAGCCTTGACACCTTTCATTAATTTATGAAGTCAACCGGAATTTAAAGTCAATCCTTTTAAGCGAAACACCCCGGGATTGCATTGGTTTTACATTCCTTTCGTGTGATTGGTCTGTACAACTAGCACCACCCTCTCATGCAAAATAGAAACAATCAGAAACTTGTAACTCGCGACTGAAGCATTTTGCTTCGAGTTCTTAATAGGTCATATGATAACTTACTTGGTTCCGATTGGCTATTGTTATTTACTCGGACTTGCATCAGTCAATCGTAATCTGCAGCCTGGAGCTGCACAACAAGAAACAACCACACAGTTTACTAATTTCTCAATCTTTAATCACAACGTTAAACTGTGACTGCAGCACAGAAAATGTCGAGATGTCCAGACCACCGTTCGAATTTTTCCAACCAATAAACTTCTCGCGCGCTCGCTTTCAAACAGCTGTCAATAATAATTTCACCTTGCTATCAAAAGCTCTAAAAAGTGAAACTTCCAACATTGCAAAGCTTGCATCTCAATGCATAAAGCGTTTCGAACTAATAAAAGAAGAAAAACATAACATACGAACACTGTCCTTGTACCAAGGGCGCTCCATAAGATTATAGGAAATACCTGCATTAAGAAAGCTAAAACGAGTGATCGGTTTTTGTAAGTGAAAAAAGTCGACCGAATAATTTCTCTTAACTAAGCACTTTTTCTCTGTCCTGTCTCTTAAAGATGAAATAGTTTTTTCTATTTGTATATATATATGTACAGAAAAAAATTAAATAATCTGCTGTGATAAACACGGCATTCAAACAAAGAAAGAAGGCGTGTCATCTGAGGCCAAATCTGGCACGGTTTGATCAGCTATTTTCTGGTCTATTTTACAAGGACTAGTGATATGAAAACTTGACGTAAACCACGGGTGTTCAAGGATTTCCCTGGGGGACAGTCTTT